AGGAACTACGAATGACGTACTGGTAAACCTGTATACAATGGGTAAGAATTGTTAAAACCCAATCACTAACACTGGAGTTACATTTTAGTTGAGTCAAATAATAGATATGCACCGGGTTATAAAAACTTCAACTGGAATATAAAAGAAACACTATATTACGATCGAGAATTGTGTATCATGAATAGGCTTACTAAATGTTGAAGTGTGACATAAGAAATACATTAGTGTTATCTTTTGGTAGACTTCTTACATATGGTTATTGTTAAATATGTCACAAGTATGAAAAAATCGGGGGAAGTACGACAATGGCTATGATTTGACCCAATTTAGTAACCATGATATATTTGTACCTTCTATCATGTATAACACTGTTTTATTTCCATACATATCTCAGTTTTGAAGTCTTATACCCATATGTTTATTCTCAACGGGATTAAAATACAAGTCTCATAATCCGATTACATGTACTTGAGATCTAACTGTAATTGTGTAATAGAGGACTATTCTATGTAGTCTACCTCGGTTGTATTCTACTTAAAACATCGAGTCTGTTAGAAATTAAACTTGGCTTAGCCCAATAATTGGGTTCATTAGAAGTTAACTTATTGGGCTAATAGTTGTATGAGAAATAATAAATTAGTTAGTCCATAAGTTAGAGTAGTAAAGAAAGATCTAGAGTACTCTTTAGTTAATGTACTTATTAAATAATTCTAGAATATTCCTAAGCTAGAATTCTATAGAATATTGTAGAATCTTAAGGAAATAGGAGTGCCTAGAAGGATCCTATGAGACCTATAAATAGAGCACTCCTCACTCATTTGTAAAACAAGCCAAAGCTCCAAATCAATAAAAGTTTCAAGTTCTTCCAAAATCATCTCTCTCTAAAATTCTCTCTTCCACACACAATCACCTAAATACAATACTCATAAACTCCTTTATTCCAACAAAGTGGTATCAGAGCCATCAACCCTTTCAAGAAAAATGAATGCCAACGGCTTACTTCCATTCCAATTTCCTCGTCTCACCAAAGATAACTACTCTAGTTGGTGCATTCGCATGAAAGCCTTGCTAGGATCTCAAGATGCATGGGAGATTGTTGAGAAAGGTTATGAGGAATCTCAAGATGATGTTACTTTAAATCAATCCCAAAGGGATAGTCTCCAAAGGAGTAGGAGGAAGGATCAACAAGCTCTCACTCTCATATATCAATGCTTAGACGAGGCCATGTTCGAGAAGGTTGCAAATGCCACCACTTCTAAAGAAGCATGGGAAATACTTCATAATTCTTTCAAGGGAGTCGACAAGGTGAAGAGAATTCGTCTTCAAAATCTTAGAGGTGAGTTCGAACAACTTAAAATGAAATATTCAGAATCAATATCTGATTATTTCTCTAGAGTGTTGGGAATTGTAAATGAGATGAAGAGAAATGGGGAGGGGCTAAAGGACATAACGGTGATTGAGAAAATCCTTCGCTCTCTGACCAAAGACTATGATTATATTGTGGTGGCCATAGAAGAGTCCAAGGATTTAGAGACCATGACCATTGATCAACTTATGGGCTCACTACAAGTCCATGAAGAAAGAGTTGTGAGAAATAAATCTGATGAATCATTGGAGCATTCCCTTTACTCCAAACTCTCTTTTAAAGAAAGAGGGGAGAATAGAGGTGAAGAAAGAGGCCAACGAGGTCGTGGTTATGATCGAGGACGTGGTGCACGTGGAAGAGGTGGCCGAGGTCGTGGTTATACAAAATTCAACAATGAAGAAAGAACTCAATATACACAAGCATCTAGAGGCCGTGGGAGAGGAAGCAAACCACAAAGGTACGACAAGTATCAACTAAGATGTCATAATTGCAATAAATATGGTCACTATGCATATGTGTAACACTTGAGATTTAATATAAACGGATTAATAGTACTACTCATACTAACAGAGGTGCATCTCCTTTTAAGGGAGCTCATTACCTAAGAACTCCAAAGTTAAGCGTGCTTGCTCGGGAGTAGTCTTGGGATGGGTGACCCCCTGGGAAGTTTCTCAGGGCGCGCATGAGTGAGGACAAAGTGCGCGGTAAAGGCTCGTGGTGGTTTGTGGGGACAGTACTAGAGGTCTGGAGTAACTACCTCGGGTCCAGTGTGGCCGGGGTGTTACAGGTGGTATCAGAGCCAGGTTGCGACAGTGTGCTGATCCGTTGGATATCGGGCAGACACCTAGCAGGGGAAAAGATTCCGGGATTTGATTGAGAGGTGTTTAAGGGCGCAACGAGGACGTTGCGATCCTAAGTGGGGGTGATTGTAACACTTGAGATTTAATATAAACGGATTAATAGTACTACTCATACTAACAGAGGTGCATCTCCTTTTAAGGGAGCTCATTACCTAAGAACTCCAAAGTTAAGCGTGCTTGCTCGGGAGTAGTCTTGGGATGGGTGACCCCCTGGGAAGTTTCTCAGGGCGCGCATGAGTGAGGACAAAGTGCGCGGTAAAGGCTCGTGGTGGTTTGTGGGGACAGTACTAGAGGTCTGGAGTAACTACCTCGGGTCCAGTGTGGCCGGGGTGTTACAGGTGGTATCAGAGCCAGGTTGCGACAGTGTGCTGATCCGTTGGATATCGGGCAGACACCTAGCAGGGGAAAAGATTCCGGGATTTGATTGAGAGGTGTTTAAGGGCGCAACGAGGACGTTGCGATCCTAAGTGGGGGTGATTGTAACACTTGAGATTTAATATAAACGGATTAATAGTACTACTCATACTAACAGAGGTGCATCTCCTTTTAAGGGAGCTCATTACCTAAGAACTCCAAAGTTAAGCGTGCTTGCTCGGGAGTAGTCTTGGGATGGGTGACCCCCTGGGAAGTTTCTCAGGGCGCGCATGAGTGAGGACAAAGTGCGCGGTAAAGGCTCGTGGTGGTTTGTGGGGACAGTACTAGAGGTCTGGAGTAACTACCTCGGGTCCAGTGTGGCCGGGGTGCTAATGCCGGATCTTTAATTACTTTCAATAAAAAGAATCTTATTAGGAATAATGAATCGGATAAAGACATCATACGTATAGGGTCGTGGTGAGATTGTGAGATTTTGTATTGAGTTTTGTTGGAATTTGATAATGGTTTAAAATAGGCCGGAATAGTCGTGTGTATATTCCAATATGTTGCTTGTCTAGAAAAGGCTTGGAAACAGTGAGATAAAACCTTTGAGATATGGGCATATTAGCTTGGTGTTTCATTTTGTGGAATATACGGTAAAAGGGTCCTAATTAGAAAATTTCATCAGGATTATATATGCTTCGGGGACGAAGCATTCTTTTAAGGGAGGTATAATGTGACACTCCTAAATTTAATAAAAAGGATTTAACTGACATGTTTTCCTTCAAAAAAAAAAAAACTAACATGTCACACGTGCTAATTGTATTGTGGATATTTCCTTAGCTTATGCTTCGGGACGAAGCATCTTTTAAGGAGGGTAGAGTGTGACACCCCGAAAAATTTAAATACAATAAATAATTTTTATTAGTCAGATAAAATGTTACAAAATTCATATTATGATAATTAAGTGAATCAGATGGGTAGAGTGTGACACCCCGAAAAATTTAAATACAATAAATAATTTTTATTAGTCAGATAAAATGTTACAAAATTCATATTATGATAATTAAGTGAATCAGATGAAATTTCAACATAGGTGGCATTTTTAATCAAATAAAAATGTTTCAACAATAAAAAAAAGAAATGTTATAATAATAATTATATTGATCAGATAAGAGTTTGACTTAAATAACAAAAGTGACATTTTATAAGTAATAAGTGATAACTATCCGTATAACATAAATAATACAAGCATGTTAGCAATTTTAGTTCAAAAGTATTGATTAATATGTGTACAAAAATATATTACGTACTAAATACCACACAAAATAATAATGTTGACTTTTCTAAGTTGATAATAATACTCGGTAGATAAGCTCAAAATAAACCATCACAAGGATTACGCCTATCCATTTACATATACGGAGTAAGTAATAAAATACGAAGTATACAAATATATGTGTGGTGTTGGTGCATACAGGCCCGATCCTGACATTTTATGGGCCCGGGACAATACAAATAGACTGGGCCTTAGGGATAGCGCGCGAAAATCTATAATTTAAAATTATACAATTTTACCGTCAAAATACGAGTATGATACATAAAAAAAAACTAACAAAGCATATGGTTAGAAAATATATAAAGAGCGTATCGATAAGTGACATTCGAGGATACAATGTACCTAACAACCGAATGAAACAAGTAGTGCAATTATTAGGCGCAATAAAATTTCGAATCAAGGGAATTTGTGAAAGTTATATCTTGTATGAGTAACTTTTTCATATTTTAAATCACATTTTCACTAGACAAAAACAAATTCTTAGTTTCTAAATTATGGACACTAAAGTTCAATCTTTCACTAAATGAGTGAATCGGAAGAAATTTGTGAAATATATCAATGGATATACATAAGACATGTACACTAAAAGATTAAAATTAATGTAATAATCCTTAATGATTCAAAAGAAATGGTGAAATATGTTCCCAATGAATACTAATGTGGATGTTTCAAAATTATGGACTTGTATCGTGTACATGGTAAATAACAAATTAGAAGTATCTAAAAATATAAGTTTGATTTTATTTTTTATTTTTTATAAAATATAATTTATATATATTTAAAATATTTACGTAAATACATACACACATATTTGAAAATTTTATGGGCCCTACTGGAGTAAAGGGCCCTGGGCGCATGCCCCTCCTGCCCATGCCCCAGGACCGGCCCTGGGTGCATATAATAAATGAGTAGGTGATAATGTATAGCAATAATATAGGAGAAGGATACAAAGGAAATCAATGTACATGGACATAGACACATGATCGGATGAGGCCAAAGGTACAAAACTGTGATTAGCTAGGCATATACAAATTCACATGGGTATGATCAGATAAGTTTTAATCAAAACCCCGGTGCAATGTATCGATCTTCTTTAAACAATAATTGACTGATCAAAAAGCCATACGGCTGAAATCAAAGCGTAACTTCCCGAACTCCTATATATGCATAATACATCCACCCTATACTTAGACGTACAAGGAAAACAAAAACAAAAAGAAATCGGAACAACACGATTATTTACTGCCTCCATAGAAAGAGAGGAAAAGAGAGAGGAAAGAAAGAACAAACGCCGGAAGACCGGAGCCAGGCCGCCGGACTGATTTCCACCCCGGAAATAGAACGGATGGAAACTAAGAAACGTTGCTGCTATCACCAGAGAAAAGACCGCCACTACTGCAGAGGAGAAGCCGGAGTTGTTGCCGTACTGTTTTTGCCACCTCCGGAGTGACTCACTGGCCGTTCCGTCAACACCGCCGGTGGGAAGGAATTGCGTGCAGGAAGTTCCGCGCCATCGGGCACTGCGTACAGAGGAGTAACGTCGCTGAAAGGAGAAGTCCGGTTGAAGTTCGCCGTCGCCGTCGCCGGAGAAGACGACTAACGAATCGTACGTATAGTGTATCTACTCCGTATTACTCCGTATGTTAATATTAATACTGCTAATAGGCTGGTCCACTAGGTATTAGTAATTAATAACAATAATAATACAATCCGCTGGAAATATCATTATAATTGCACTGTTCCTGATATAATTATGGACTGTTTAGACTGGACCGAGTATTAACAGTAATTGGGATAATCATAATAATATTGATAATACTAAATATAATTCGGATAATGCCACAAATAATATAATAGTTGGTTATGAGAATTCTGCTAAGATATAAATTGATGATATTCACTTTTAAAAGAACCTGTCACTTTTAAATCTGGATAACTACATGGAGAAAAAGATTATTATTGAAATAAATGAACAATCATAAAAGGATTAGAATCTTAAACTGGATAATAATTAGCAAAGTGGGACAGTTATTAATTAAAGAATTTTAATATTCTTAGAAGGTGATTTTGGTGAAAATCGAGGTAAAAGCTTCGGTTAGAAGTTATCGTGATTCGAGGTAAGTTTCTCTGCCGATCCAAAATTGTTTCCTCGTATTATATGCTTATTATGCATTATGTGATTAAGTGTGAATTTTGAATTATGTGTATGTGATTTTGAGGAGATATTAGATATATGGTATTTGAGAAGTGCAAACTAAGTACTTTTGGGTATTAAATATTTTTAAATACCTTTGAGACTATTTAGAGAGATTGAGAAATATTTTTGGAAGTATATCTAAAGTCAAGATAAAATTTACGTTTTCATAAGAAGTGAGCACCCGGGAGAAATCCGTGGTGTCGGTTTTCCACATCCGGATAAATGTGGAGGGTGATTAAGGCTGCTACTACTAAGAAGTACAGTTTGAGTTTGAAATGACATTTGGATCTATGATCCCTTTTAAGAAGAAGTTATAGTAGTAGTAGTCCCTAATCATTCAAGAATTTTAAAGGTGGGGTAGTTGGTAGACTGAGTCCCGATTACTCGTGACGGCTTACTACTCGGAGGGCTTGGAATCCTTTTTAGGGGGTGTGCACACTTAAGGTAGTCGTTTCGTTTCCATTAGCAGTTGTGGTACCGGCAAAAGTCCCGGGGTGGCCGTACATAACAACGTAACCACCGGACTCAACCAGAGTGTTGAGCACCGCCCTTCTAAATTACTAGGAAGATAGAGAAGAAGTGAATTTTGAGAAATTCTAAGAGAAGAGTTACTATAGTATTTCCAAAGAAAAGTTGAGGACTTTATTAAAGAAGTGATTTTGAGAAATATCAAAGAGAAAAGAATTTTGGTGGAGTGTGTCATTTTTATATAGTATTATATGAAAAACTATTTTTCGCCAAACCTGATTATTTTACGGGGTTGGGTAGTACTTACTTAGCTCTAAAGCTAATTTTTGTTTCTTTTTCCCTGTTTTGTTTTCTGCACTTTATTTGTGCAGGTAATGATGCTTATGTGGATTGATGATTTGCATGGTCTTGAGAGCGGTTGAGATATGCCTTAGTCAAACCTAGTCAAGAATTATTATTTAATTATGTTAAACACTTGTTTTACTTTGTTTAGTTTGGTGATTGCCTGTGCATTCGGTTAAGAGATGACCGGATGTGGCGGTAACACCCATTCCCCAATTAATGTTATTTCCGCTGCAAAACTTTTTATCTGTTTTGAAAGAGTAAATCAAGTTTACGCTCAATAAATCTATTATTTGAAGTATTATTTTGGGAGGGAAAATGGGGGTGTTACAATATGAATGCAAGAACTCTCATCATGTTAAGGAAGAGGCACATCTCATGGAGATGAATAACGAGGTAGAACTTACCTTGTTGATGGCAAATCATGAAGAACAAACAAAGAAGAGCACATGGTATTTAGACACTGGAGCTAGCAACCACATGACGGGGAGATAAGAGCTTGTTCGTAAAGGTGGAACAAACTCAAGGTCATGTTACCTTTGGAGATGAATCAAAAGTCGTGGTGAATGGTAAAGGTAACGTTCTAATCCGCCTAAATGATGGAAGTCACCAATTCATTTCTGATGTTTACTATGTGCCCAACTTAAAAACAAAGTATGGGACAACTCCTAGAAAAGGACTATGATATTCACATAAAGAATCGTAGTCTTTCTCTACGAGACAATAATGGGAGACTAGTTGCTAAAGTGCCGATGACTAGAAACCGGATGTTCTTGCTTGATATTCAAAGAGATCAAGCCATATGCTTGAAAAGTTGCTTGAAAGACGAGTCATGGATTTGGCAATTAAGATATGGGCACTTAAACTTTGGTGGCTTGAAAATGCTATCGTCCAAAGGCATGGTGAAAGGTTTGCCCTTCATCAATCATCCCGATCAGCTATGCGAAGGATGCCTACTTAGGAAGCAATCAAGGAAACCATTCCCTAAAGAAGTTACCTCAAGAGCTAAGGAGCCATTGGAGTTAATCCATACCGACTTATGCGGTCCTATTACTCCATGTTATCATGGTAAAAGTAAGTACTTTCTCACTTTCATCGATGATTACTCAAGGAAAATATGGGTATATTTTCTTAAACAAAAATCAGAGGCTTTTGAAACATTCAAGAAATTTAAAGCTCTTATTGAGAAAGAAAGTGGGTACGTTATTAAAGCCATGAGATCAGATCGGGGTGGAGAGTTCACATCAAAGGAGTTCAATCAATTTTGTGAAGATAACGGCATCCGCCGTCCCATGACTGTCCCACGCACACCACAACAAAATGGTGTTGCCGAAAGAAAGAATAGGACTATCCTCAACATGGCCCGAAGCATGCTAAAGACGAAGAATATGCCTAAAGAATTTTGGGCTGAAGCTGGTGACTGTGCCGTCTATCTTCAAAATCGCTGCCCCACGAAGAGTCTAGATGGAATAACTCCACAAGAAGCATGGCATGGAGGTAAACCCGGAGTCTCGCACTTGAAAGTATTTGGATGCATTGCATATGCTCATGTTCCTGATCAGACTAGATCAAAACTCGATGACAAGAGCGAGAAGTTCATATTCATTGGATATGACAAACACTCAAAAGGGTACAAACTCTACAATCCGGATTCGAAGAAGCTTATAATAAGTCGTGATGTGGAGTTTGATGAAGAAGGTTCATGGAATTGGAGCATTGGCGACAAAGAAGATTATAGCCTCTTACCATCCATGGAATGTGAAGAAGAAGTTGAAGAGAATAATGAAAATATAACTCCTCCACCATCTCCCACTCAAGCTCAATCTTCGCCACCAAGTTCAGATGAAAGAGAAGTACCACGCATGAGAAGCATTGAAGAGATTTACGAGGTAACACAAAACCTAAACTCAAATGATGAATTTACACTCTTTTGTCTATTTGGTGATTGCGAGCCACTATGTTTTGAAGAAGCCACAAGAAACAAGAAGTGGAGAGATGTAATGGATGATGAGATTAAGTCCATTGTGAAGAACAAAACATGGGAGCTAGCCACACTTCAATCAAATCATAAAGCAATTGGAGTGAAGTGGGTATTTAAGATCAAGAAAAATGCAAAAGGGGAGGTTGAGAAGTACAAAGCAAGACTAGTGGCCAAAGGCTACGCCCAAAGACATGGCATTGATTATGAAGAAGTATTTGCGCCCGTTGCTAGATTGGAAACAATAAGATTGGTAATTGCACTCACGGCTCACAACAAGTGGAAGATACATCAAATGGATGTCAAGTCCGCATTCTTAAATGGGTTCCTAGAAGAAGAAGTCTACATTGAGCAACCCGAAGGTTACAAAGTCAAAGGGCAAGAAGATAAAGTGTTGAGGCTAAGAAAGGCTCTTTATGGGCTTAAACAAGCACCAAGAGCTTGAAATAGTAGAATTGACCAGTACTTCCAAGCTAATGGATTCGTGAAGTGTCCACAAGAACATGCACTATATGTAAAGAAAAATCGTCAAGGAGACATATTGCTCGTGTGCATATACGTGGACGATCTCATCTTTACAGGTAATAATATGACGATGTTCGATGAGTTTAAACAAGTCATGACAAGGGAGTTCGAGATGACTGACATTGGGCTTATGAGTTACTATCTTGGCATCGAGGTGAAGCAAATGGATGATGGTATATTCATCACTCAAGAAGGATACGCGAGAGAAGTACTCAAGAAGTTCAACATGGAGGACTCCAAACCTGTAAGTACACCTGTCGAAAGTGGATTAAAGTTATCAAGGTATGATAAAGAAAAATTGATTGATCCAACCTACTTTAAGAGTCTTGTGGGGAGCCTAAGATACTTAACATGTACAAGACCAGATATTCTCTTTGGTGTTGGACTTGTTAGTCGATTCATGGAGGCCCCTACAACAACTCATTTGAAGGCGGCAAAAAGGATTTTGCGATATCTCAAAGGCACCGCCGAATATGGGTTGTTTTACTCTTCATCTGATGAGTTTAAGCTGGTTGGATATTGCGATAGTGATTGGGGTGGAGATATCGATGACCGCAAGAGCACAACTGGGTTTGTGTTTTACCTGGGAAACACCGCTTTCACATGGGTTTCAAAGAAGCAATCGATAGTCACTCTGTCCACTTGTGAAGCCGAGTACGTTGCAGCAACATCAAGTGTTTGTCATGCAATTTGGCTCAGGTAAATATTGCAAGCTCTCGGCATGTCTCAAGAAGAAGCAACAACAATATTCGTGGACAACAAGTCAGCTATCGCATTAGCAAAGAATCCAGTGTTTCATGATCGAAGTAAGCACATAGACACTCGATATCATTTCATACGGGGAAAGATAGCGAAGAAGGAAGTTCAAGTAGAGTATGTGAAGACTCAAGACCAAGTCGCTGATATTCTCACAAAGCCACTCAAGCAGGATGTCTTTGCAAAGATGCGGGATCTACTTGGTGTGCTAAGTCAAGTTTAAGAGGGGATGTTAGAAATTAAACTTGGCTTAGCCCAATAATTGGGTCCATTAGAAGTTAACTTATTGGGCTAATAGTTGTATGAGAAATAATAAATTAGTTAGCCCATAAGTTAGAGTAGTAAAGAAAGATCTAGAGTACTCTTTAGTTAATGTACTTATTAAATAATTCTAGAATATTCCTAAGCTAGAATTCTATAGAATATTGTAGAATCTTAAGGAAATAGGAGTGCCTAGAAGGATCCTATGAGACCTATAAATAGAGCACTCCTCACTCATTTGTAAAACAAGCCAAAGCTCCAAATCAATAAAAGTTTCAAGTTCTTCCAAAATCATCTCTCTCTAAAATTCTCTCTTCCACACACAATCACCTAAATACAATACTCATAAACTCCTTTATTCCAACAGAGTCACGAAGATATGTTCATACACCTCAACATATACAGTACTACTTTCACTTTCACTGAGTAGTACTAATTCTAGAATACCACTGTTAAATATGAGAATAACTTAGTCGTTGTTTATTTCACAATTGAACACACGAGAATAATTGTAGTAAATGTGATTTCAATGGGTTCCCTATGCAAAAATACGACATTCACGACTCAAGTCCAAAATCAGACCAATATACTATTTAAGTGAGTACATGTAGGAAACTATAGTAACAGATTAGTCCTCGTAGGGATATATATTTCGAGCAGGTATCCCATAAATGTACATCATAATGTGTACATTATGGATACTTCATCTTGTGTCATATTCTTGAGATAGTAATGGGAGACATAATGGTCACAAGATGTGTGACAAAATGTGATATACTCAATGTGATTAAACACTTGACGCACAGGTCAATTACTATGTCCTTATAGTTTAATTATCAATGCATAATATAGATAATTGATTGAGACTTTTATTTTTAACAAGTCTTACATTAATTTAGTGTATATAATGTACAAATAATATGTCTTTGATTAAATGGACTAATATGTCAAATGGAGAAACAATTAGGACATTGTATATTCGGTTAATAATGGAGTAATTAACCTATCACTAGTACATTATATCACATATATAGTGCACTGGAGAAATATGCACTTCATATTTTGTAATATGAAGTACATCACCCATGTGATTTATGGGTTTTAAGTGGATTATGTATAGTGATAGGTATACGATTATAGAACTTCCATTTCAAACATCTACAACAATGTACTCATGAATAGTACACAATGTTGGGACACTTGATTTATCCGTGGATACATGTTACCCTATGTTTGACTAGTATACTAATTGTACATAGTGGTAACTTAATTACTCATGTGATGATATGCAACTATAGTATAGACAATTATGTTATAATTGTATATTATGTATATTAACATCAGTGTTTACTAATATTTATGTGTTAATCGAAATTATGTACAAGTTTAAAACTATCAGATTGTTACGTGAGTCAACTCGGTAGAAATATCAATTAGACTTGAATGATATATGTACGATAGACTAATGTAATCACTTAAACTCACTATGGGCTGGTTTGCAACTACTTTTAAAAAATCACTTCTCAGCTTTTGACTTTAAAAAGCACTTATTTTTCCAAACATTACATTGGAACAAATGGAACAAATGATTTTTCCAAACATCAAGTCTGTTCCCATTCTGATGTGTAATCTGGAAAAAATAATGCCACCATCGTTTTTCGATACAATGGAACATCTCATTATACATCTTCCGTATGAGGCTTTGACTGCTGGGCCCGTCTTCTATCGGTGGATGTACAGATTTGAAAGGTTAGTCACAATTTCATTTAAAAAAATATTATTTATTTCACAATAACTATTAACATGTGTATTATTGCATTATTGCAGATTTCTAGGAGAGCTGAAAAAGAAAGTGACCAACAAGGCACACGTTGAGGCTTCAATTTGTCAAGCGTATCTTCAACAAGAAATCTCAACGTTCTCGTCTTTTTACTTCGAGCGTGAAGTCATCACCAGAAGGAAGAGACCTGCCCGGAACGATGATATTGGCGAGGATTTATATGAAAATGTAGTTTCCATCTTCAATTACCCAGGCAGAGGTAAAGGTGCTGCGACACAACGATACATCCTGGGTGGGGAATTGCAAATTGCGCATACTTATATCCTCATGAATTGTCCAGAAATCTCACCGTTTTATCAGTAAGTTAAATTTGTAGTTATAATTGTAATACTTATAAATTAAATTTGTAGTTAATTTATAGTTTTTTTTTTTTATTTTTGACTTCACAGTGAATTCCGAGCTTCTTTATCAGCCTTTCCTGAGAATGAAATAGATGCGTTGGTGGACTCTGATTTTGTAAATTGGTACAAGTATCAGGTATATATACACACACATTAATTATATATATTACCTAATGTTTACCTAATGTTATTATTATGTTTATATTTACAGATCAATAGTCGTGGGATTGTCGACCCTTTGTTAGTATCATTAGCGTGGGGCCCAGGTGCCAGTGCCAAAGTGTGGCGGCAATATGTGATAAACGGTTACACATATCACACAGCCGATTACGGAGAGGGCCGACCAACAACGAACAGCGGGTTATGTGTCCCGACCATCGGTTATGATAACTCGGAAACCAGTTTTTTTGGTGTCCTGCAGGAGATTCTGGAACTTGAGATGCCTTCTTGTGCGAAAAAATTGACATGCGTTCTGTTCCGTTGCACATGGGTCGACCCCACACGTGGCGTGCGCAAAAATCCGAAGTATAATATGATTGACGTCAACCTCTCTCGTGTGTACCCAAAAAATGAGCCTTTCATACTCGCCCAACAAGCAGCGCAGATTTATTATGCAGAATATCCTTCAACAAGGCGGACACAGAATCCTTGGGTGTGTGCATGTCCTGTCCGTCCGAACAAAATAAAATCACAAACTCAACACAAGGACGTTGATCTAGATGCTTTTCAGCAACAATTTTTCCAACCTCCGCCTATTGTTGAGACGGTCAACTATAACCTCCAATTAAGTGATCCAAATGGCGGACGTGTTGAAGTCATGCCAGAAACGCACCTTCCGGACCCAACCATTCCATCTGAGCGCGAAATTGAGGAAATGTATGTAGCACAACAAAATGCTCAATATCAGGAAGAAGGTGAATGGATAGACGGTTCAGATACAGAAGAAGATACTGTATATGTAGAAAATGACGATTCTGATAGCGAATAATTGTGCTGTTGTAATTTCAATTTTATTGACTTCTAATATTTGTGCAGATTTCTTCATCATTATATTACTCCAACAATATTTGAATTTTTTTCTATCTTTATCATTATTATTTATGAACAAAAAATTACTCCATATTAATTCAACCACAACAAGTTTTTTATATCCATATTATAAATTCAAAATAAAATTTTTCACAATTCGAAGTTTGAAAATTAAAATTTACCCAATACAAAATATGAAATTACTCTATATTATATTCTTTTATTTTCAAATTCGAAAATTCAAATATTATTTTTTATTTTTCTAAATTCGAAAATTTATTTTAATAATTTTTAATAATTCGAAATTCGAAAATTAATTTTAATAATTCTAAGTCTATTCGAAAATTAACAAAATTCGAAAATTAAAAAAACAGTAATCTACTTTTACTAATCTGAATATTATAATAAATTTAGATATTAATAAACAACTAACAGATATTTATTTATCAAATTTCAAAGATAAATACAAAACACACAATGAAATTGTCACATATTATTTATTAAACAACTAACATAGATTTATTTATTACATTAGCCTAACTAACATTATTCATTCCTCAATCGGAAACTTTCAAGAGGCCTAGCCCACAACTCCTGAATTTTCATTCGAGCTTCTTCGTTGATCGGGTCCATATACTCTGAAACTTCTTGTGCACGTTGAAGCATCCGACACAAATTTCTTGCTTTTGACTTGCCCAACGAGTCGGATTCTTCATCTTTATAATCGCCAAAACTTTCAAGGGGTCTAGACATCAACTCCTTGATTCTCTCGTATGCTTCCACGGTTTTCGGCTCCATAAGCTCTGTAATCAGCTTAAGTCGTTTCATATCTCTACACATCGAATCCCAGTCAATTGGACCTCTATTAGCCATTTTTTTTTACAGTTCAGTCTTGGGGCGGAGAAAGATTATTTATACTAAAAAAATTCAAGTTGTCACGGTCTTAGTCACGGTCAGGACCGTGACTAAACCCTTCGTAAATGCCGAAGTCAGTCCGCCGGTCAGAGCGGCGCTGACAATAATAGTCACGGTCAGAACCGTGACTATGACCGTGACTATTTTCAAATTTTGAAAATAGTCACGGTCATAGTCACGGTTCTGACCGTGACTATTCCGATTAAAGGCGTCTCTGACTGTCAACGCTGACATCGTCAATTACGAAGGGTTTAGTCACGGTCCTGACCGTGACTATGACCGTGACTAAACCCTTATATAAAATAACCACTTAGCGTTTTTTTAAAAAATCCTACGCACCCCAAACTCCCAAACCCTAAACAACCTCTTCCTTCTCTCTTCCCTCTCTTCCAGAGTTTAGATTGTCCCGCCGCCTAGCCGTCGCCGCCTCGCCGTCGCCGCCTAGCCGTCGCCGCCTAGCCGTCCGCCGTCAACGTCTAGTCGTCCGCCGTCGTCCTCCGGCCGCCTTCGTCCACCTTCTTCCGTCGCCCCTTCTTCAGTCAAGGTTATGTGTTCTGTTCATCTTATTTTGTAATATTTGATTAAACTTCCAAAAATGCATGATTGTATACTTAAATGAATGATAAGATGCATGATTTTTAGTTTCATATCATTTTGTAATCTTCAAAAGATGTATGTATGATTTATTATATGCATGATTTGTAGTTTTGCATGATTAATTGTTTTATATGTTTCGTATGCATGATTAATATATGTTCAAATGTAGATTATTTTATGTTTAATATATGTTCATATGCATGATTAATATATTATCGAACTAATGCGTGCTTATACAATTAGTATCATGTTAAACATATATGTTTAGTGTTTGATTTGCATGCCTCTCTATACATATGCACTACTTTAAAATTTATTTCCGAAAATATTTAATTTAGGTTAATATTTTAAAAAAAACTGTTTAAATAAATAGCCCCTCGTGTTAAATTTCCAAAAATAGTTTAACACGTTTAAATATAATTTCCGTAATATCCATTAACAAAATATTAAACATATAAATTTAATCCCGAAAAAAACTGGACGAAACATTGTTTTTATAATTTATCTAAAAAAATCTGTTTTTATAAAAACTGTTTTTATAAAAACTGTTTTAATATAAACTGTTTTTATAATTTATCGAAAAAAACTGTTTTTACAAAAATTGATATATATAAACTGTTTTATATAAAATGTTTTATTAAACAGATTTTTGTAAAAAACAGTTTTTATAAAAACTGTTTTAATAAAAAGTGTTTTTATAAAAACTGTGTTTATAAAAACTGTTTTTATACAAACTGTTTTTACATAAACTGTTTTTATAATTAATCTAATAAAAACTGTTTTTATAAAAACTGTTTTAATATAAACTGTTTTTATAATTTATCGAAAAAAACTGTTTTTACAAAAATTGATATATATAAACTGTTTTATATAAAATGTTTTATTAAACAGATTTTTGTAAAAAACAATTTTTATAAAAACTGTTTTAATAAAAAGTGTTTTTATGAAAACTGTTTTTATTAAAACTGTGTTTATAAAAACTGTTTTTATACAAACTGTTTTTATATAAACTGTTTTTAAAATTAATCTAATAAAAACTGTTTTAATAAAAACTGTTTTTAATAAAAACTGTTTTAATAACTGTTTTTATAAAACTGTTTTTAATAAAAACTGTATTTATAATAACTGTATTTATTAAAAAACAGTATTTATAAAAACTGTTTTTATAAAAACTGTTTTTAATAAAAACTGTTTTAATAACTGTTTTTATAAAACTGTTTTTAATAAAAACTGTATTTATAATAACTGTCTTTATTAAAAAACAGTATTTATAAAAACTGTTTTAATATAACGTGTTTTTATAAAAACTGTATTTATAATAACTGTTTTTATAAAAACTGTTTTAATAAAAACTGTTTTAATAACAATTGTTTTAAAAACTCTTTTATTAAACAGATTATTTTTAAAAATAGTTTTTTGTAAAACTTGATTTAACAAACTGTTTTAAATTTATTTTAAAATGATATAACTAAAACATAAAAAAATGATCTCCTCTCATGTAAACTTTGCAAAAAGTTTAACATGTTACCTCCAAGTGCAATTTATTACCAAATTATTTAAGAACTTATTATGAAAAAATATGGACCCCTCATATTAAACTAAAAATAGTTTAATATGCTATACACATTTTCAATTAATAATACTTGTATAAATTTTTATAGTAAAAAATAATAAATATACCCCAAACTTTAATGAACCTTTAGTAGGCACACCTCAAACTTTTATAAGCGTTCTAACAAAAAACAAAATAAATTAATATATTTTAGATGAGCAACGAACAATCGACCTCGGCTCCCCGCCCTAACTATGCGCCTATGTCCGAAGCGGAGCGCAACAATGATGGAGCTGTTTGGGTGACGCCTGCAGAAGTTCTTTTGTAAGTAGTTATGAAAAACCTTATTTTCAATAATTTTATATAATGTTAAATAATCAAACCAAATCTTATATAAATAAATACTATTAATTTTTTTAAGTGACGAACAAGTGTTCACGGGCATCAAAAGCATCATCGGAGGACACTTTCTTGGCACTTGGGCCACACTGTCAGATGTTGACCCCAAGGTTCGCGAACTATGGTGGAACCTGTTCAAGGTAAAAATAAATGAATGTTCCCTTCCTGATTGTATTGGCCTAATATATACCTGGTGATTAATTAATCCAATTTTTTTGAATAAAGGCTCGCTATCGTTGGACTCATGCACACGGTGCCGATATTCTTAAAGCCTACAATGCTAGGATTTCGACCTGGCTTCGCGCCACTTTTAAACGTGCGCGAAAAAGTGGGAAAAAGCCTAGATGGGTTTCGGATGAAGTGTGGTCCAGCCTTTGTCGCCACTGGTCTTCTGATCCGAAATTCTTGGCCAGAAGTGAATCCGGTAAGAAAAACCGGATGTCCGAGAAGGCCTTGGAGATGCAGTGGCACGGAGGTCGTAAATCTCAGAATGCCCATAAAGAAACTCTTGTAAGTGCTATTCAAAAAACCTTACAACATCACATTCCTTCATTATAAAAAATTTAATTAAGTCTTTTTCGCACCATTTAGGCTGGTCCTGAGAAGAAGAAGGTTGATGTTCTCCGGCTCGTCAAGCATTGCTGGACGAAGCACGGCGAGGAATCTGAAGCCGATTTGCCACCCCGCCTCGCTGACTTCGAAGTATGTAACATCATATTTTGTTATTTAGTAACATTTCAAATCTAACTATGTAGCATTTAAAAAATCTTTTTGAAAATGCAGACGAAGTACAACGAATCCCTCGACAGGCAGCGTGCGGCACGAGGCTTGACCCAGGAGGACGACCTCGATTCCGATGCGGATGATGAGGCGGCCATTGAGGCGGCCGGGGTTTACAAGGGCCGGGTTCCGTGCTTGGGGGCCGAGGGGCAACGGATTTTGTATGATCGAAGCACCGGCGCTTCCTCTTCTCGGTCAAGGCGGGGAGAAGATCCCCGTATTGCCACAATGCAGCGTGAACTAGAGGAGCACGAACGGCGATGGGAGGAGCAGCGGAAAAGAGAGGAAGAAACAAAAGCCCGACTGGAGGAGATGGAACGGTACATGCGTGCCGGATTCCAGCCTCCGCAACAGCCTTTTCCTCCCCCGTATGTATTCCACCCTGAGCAAACTCCTCATGTTCCGCACATGGGCGGTATGG